GAGTTGTAGGATAACACTTCCTTAAATATCCAACAAAATACCTGGGACACGAAAGTAATAAAGATAGCAAACAAATATCACAAGTGATAAACCCACTTCATGACTAAACCCTAAAACAAGCACTGGGGAAAAAAAAAAAAAATCTTCTTTTTCTTTGTAGTTAATTTCTGGCTTCTACAGACCAAAAAAAAAAAAGGTCCAATTGGCAGTTTCTATATCCTGAGAAAGATACCTGCAGAGAAACTGAAGTGGGTTACAATGAGGTAGGTAACAGGAGGAGGGAAGACTCGGATAAATCTTAAAGAAGACTGAAAAGCCCCTGGGACCGAAGCAATTTTTGCCAGGGGTGGAAGAGAATTAGGATTGCCAGAGCGGTCTGTTTGAGTCCTTACCAATCAAAGCATATAAATGTAGCTGTCAAGCTTCTCAAAAAACTATTACTAAACTGCTCAAAGTTACTTGAAATACACCAAGCACCAAAAATCCACGTTTCACCTAAGGTGTGGTTTGTAGAGTGCCGCAATACCTCTGCAAAGGGGAAAACAAAGAAGCTTTGGCATTAGGAAGGAAGAAACACTCACACGGTTTCTGCCTCCCACATAACTTAAGAAACTGGGATCCAAACTTGTGGAAGAATTTGGAGAAGAGATCTTGGAAAACAAACAAATTAAAAACTACATCAACTGAAGGCAGAAGGTTCAAGTTATGCAAAGAGTGCTCAGTGAGATGCAGAAGGTCTGAAGGTCTAATCAGAGGACAGTTCATACTAGATCTTCCCTCAGCGTACACAATTAACAGGATAACTTAAAGATGGAAAGGGAAGCCAAGTAAAAGACTTGAATCAAAGAATGCTTATGGTATCTCTCAGTGGAGAGAAAACCACTTGCTGCCTTGCATACTTCAGGTGCATAGGTACTAACTAGGTGCATCACCTCAGTCACTCCGTTTGCCAAAGAAACACAGGGTTCTTCCAGAAGGAGTAAACTGTCAGCCAGCTTTGACGATTTAGAGCCCTGTGACCTGACACAGTGGTTCTCCTGGGATTTGAGTTAAGCTGGATTAATTCTTTAAACTAGCCCCAAATCATGCTGACAGATTTTGCTAGAGAACTAAAGAACAATTCTTCCTGAGGGAGACATAAAAAGGGCCCATGTCAGCGAAAAACAGTAGATGTTTTTGTGTTGTGTTATTGGAAGGAAATCTAAATAGCTGGGCAATACTAAAGGGGAAGGAAAAAAAAAAGTCTAAAAAAGTCATTAGAAGACTTTGCCCAAGATTCAAGCCAGAGGTGTCCAGGCTAGGGCCCTGATACCTAGGGATGATTTATAAATTTATGAAGCTAAGAATTCCACTAATCCCCCTAGCTGAAGAACTTCTGTATTAAGAACAGCAGCCTCAAGCAAACTACTAGTTCCCCATTCTGATCTCACCAGAACTGTTAGCCAGTAACTCAAACAGCTAACACAGAGCTATAGAAAAAGGGGCAAGAGGGAGATCAAACACACAGCTCCTGTCTTAAATTGACCACTAAGCAGACAGTAAGTAACCCAAGACTGACAGTAATCAGTCTGTAAATTAAAGTCAGGCTGCTGTTCTCAGAGAAGCTGGCCAAAAGCCAACAGCCTCATCTAACCAAAAGGCATTATCCTAGGTGTGGGACTCCATTGTGATCAAAACAAACTAAAGCTTACAATATAATTGATGATCAGCGATCAGACCTCTCAGCTTCCTGTATTTGCAGCATTCATTAATTGCAAAACAGAAGACTGGGAAAATAACAATAACTTGGTGGAACGGTTCCGTTCTGCAAGGGTGTAGCCGAAAGACAGCAATGAACAAACTCCATCATTTTATTTGGAGTTGGGACTTCAGTGGATCAATTTCCTCCCTGTTGCTTTTAAAGATCAATACACTCTGTAATTCAAACTAGTCTGAAACTTCCAAGAGCCAAAAACGTGCAGGCAACCCACAAAACTTTGCCTTCCCCAAGCAAGACACTTCACAGTCTTTAAGTCAACCCAGTGCTCAGACTATATCACTGTGAAAGACAAAAAAAAGCCTAAATCTAAACAGAACAGTGAGCTGATTAAAACATTTAGTTTGCAGTCATGCTGCAATCTCCTTTAGGTGACAGCATACACCTGCTGCAACTGTATCCTTCTGAATTCCTTATTAGCACTGGGCTTTCACACAGGGAAGAGTATTTCAGGGTACTATTACCATCTCACTATCGGAAGACATAAACACAGCTTGAGATGTTAGACTCTGACTTTGGTCACTTGCATCATCACCTCACAACTGCACCGAAAGAACACTTGATCCTTCAGCTCTTGGAGAATGAGGAACATTGCAGTCAACCTGCTAAGGATTATAGGTACTGAGAGCAAATTATGTTTTCCTCCAATCACTATGCTTCCTATGAAAACAAGGTCCATGTTCTTTCTTCAAGTAAGTTTCCCAGCTTGAAGAATAGATAAAAGGTCACCTAAGTTCTGGACAAAAATGGCTGCAGATATGCTCTGACACAACAGCACGCTCTTTATTAAGATGAAGCTCTTAGAAAAGGATGACTACTTTGTCAAAGTCCTCAATGACTACTTTGAAGATATACGAGTTGCCCAAGAACTAAACTACTTTTGACCTACCATTTTATTTTTAAAAGAAAAACCTCACAGCACCACTTACAGAAACTTGAAATAAAGCAAACCATCTCTACATGCAAAAAACTTCCTGCAGTGCTGAAAGGACAAGTGAAATGCAATAGTCATCCAGCTCAGTGCAATTCTGGAAGGCTCATACCATGATAACCTGAGAGACCTTATTTCTAAAGGCAAAGGTTGAAAACTGTTACACTGCAAAACAAACAGTGACTTGGGCTCAACCTACAGCTTCACTACATGGCAGATTACTTACCCCTATGCTTCACAGAGAGAACATTTAAAACACATCACACTCCCAAAAATCAGAATCATCTTTCCCTGTAACCAATTAGACTGAGAAACTGGCCACCTGTGACAACTACAGCAAAGGCTTTCTTATGATGAAAACCAACACACTCGCAGACCCAAAACAGTTTGTTAACAAAGGCTCACTCTATTTCATCACGTATTTTATTCCTCCCTCACTGAACATGGAGCAGTACAAATAAAGGCTATTTACCATGCAGGCCTCCATTAGTGCCGTGTGCATCTCATCGGTTTTGTGTTCTTGATCAGCTCCAGCTTCAAGCAAAAAACGAACCATATCTAAATGGCCTTCAAACGAAACAGATCAAAATAAATAAGCATTTAATATCACAAATGTTCAGTAGAACAGCCACTACACACTGAAATAATTTAGTTTTTCATAGTTTGCTATTACAGTTTTTACTAATTATAATTCGCAAACCTGCTTTTTTTAAAGCACTCTAAAAAATACAAACGCAAAACAGACAGCCAGACTTCAGACAGTCTTTCCCAGCAATACTGGGCAACTATGAGAAGAAGACAGGCCTCTAATTCAAGTTTACACAACAGGAACCTTTCCTTGTGACATCAAGCTACAAAAGACTTTGCTTATTCCTTATTCAACTGTACAATGACATACATTTCAGTGTTCCAAGGCAGCACAGAATGGGGGGGAATTATCTTTAAAGACAGGTCCATGTAGGTCTGAACCTAAAGCTATTTAATCACAGCATTCAGACATATTTCTGAGAACTAAGATACACACATTATGTCACATTATGTTAGCTGACACTATTGTTAAAAGCTACTACTGAACTTGACCAATACTTGTTTTCAACTCTATCATGGCTTCTGGCGTTTTAGCATTTGTCCCTTACACGTGATACATTTTACCATCTCAATGAGCATCCTTCTCCAAGGCAAGACTTAGTTAGGAAAACAACATTCTCCCCAAAGATAATACAGGTAATAAAGATTTACATTACATGCCCCGCCAACATACCCAGAAATACTATTACTGAAATTTCTTTACAAGGAACTACCACATGCTGCAGAAAATCCATGACAAATTCAGGTGCAAGTTTTCAGAATGGTTGTACCTAGTATGTATCCTCCACTTCTAATGACAGAGACAGAACCTTAAGTTACTATGACAATGATCCACATCATTAAAGCTTCTATTGAAACAAAAACAATTGTTGGAAATTTTATGGAGGTTTCTGGAAGAAATACGCTTGGGAAATATATTGGATTACCACTGCACTAAGCTATTTTACACAAAAACTTTAAATAACAAAAGAAATTAAGTCTACAAAAGTTCATAATAAATAACAATTCGTAGACATCTTCCAAAATTACACTGAAGGAAAAGTATCCAGTATATCCATAATACCATCGTTTTCACCCCATTAGGTATTCCAGGAACATTTGTTCTAACTTAGCTAAGAGAGATGTTCAGAACCTGCAGACAGTTGGTGGGAATCTGAAAGAAATAGGGAATGCAGTAGTAGGGGAAGAGGAGAGTGGTGGTGTGTCAAAGCACGAGCTTGGACGCAGCCAGTCACAAGTTTTCATATGCAATGTCCAAAACATGTCCACCACTTTTGGACACAAGCAGACAGGCTTAGCATCGCTACACTGTGGATGAGCATTTCCTGACACTGAGCTTAAACCAGAATCCTGTAATTCAAAATTCTTAAGAAAATATTCAAAATATGGCTGGAAGCTTTAGTTAGACAAATCCTACCAAATAAATCTAAGCAAAAATACAAAACAAGGCAAGAGACAATACCTTTATAGCATGCAAGTGTAAGTGCACTTTCTTTGAACTCGTTGGAGTGAGTGTTGATTCCTGCACCATATTCCAGCAATACTCTCGCAACCTCAACATGACCTGCACTGGCTGCTTCCATTAAGGGGGTATGCCCATTCTCATTGTGGTCTTCTATATTAGCACCGGCTTTCAATAGCACCTTCACTATGTCAACAAAGCCCCCAGCACAAGCGTAAGTGAGAGCTGTGTTCCCTGCAGAGAAGAAGTTCACATGAAAGCCCTTTCCATCACCCACTCCCCTAATACAGGAAAGGAAATCAAGTTTTAACAGGAAAGGAAATTAAGTTTTAACGGCTCTGAACAAAACCAAGTACATCACTAGCAGCAGCCTTTTACCTCACAGCAATGTTACTCCAGCCAGTAATTTCATGATGGGTATAAAATCCCAGCATAACTATAATGTGAGAGAGTTTTAATGCTAAGCCAATTATAATAATATTATTATTATTATTAGGTTTCCTACTTCAGCACACACACAGCAATCAAGTACATACACAAAAATACCAATGGTCACTGCAGAGTTTGGGGGGTGGGGTGTTTGGGTTTTTTTTGTTTAAGACAGTATCCTGTAATCCCCTGAAAAACTGGCTGGATGAAACCAAATTTATAATTTAAAACTCTGGTACCATAAACTACAGACAGTCACATACGGCTCATGTTCTAAATGCTATGGTCAATTTTAAGGTAAGTTCTGCCAAATATGGCTACACAAGAACATTTCATAGTTCAGACACCTGACTTCTTTAAAACTTGAACACAGCTTAAATTCTATCTTAATATTAGCAGAATCCAACTGCAGATTAATACTCTCAGCAAGGTTTGTTAAGCTGTGTTCAAGCATCAGCAATGTAGGCAACATTTGACGCTCAAAGAATTGTACCTTCTCTTTGGTAAAAAGCAATAGGCAGAAGCAACTGCTCTTGACCAGATGTGTCCCATGGTTGTCTTAACGGACAATTTTGGATTATACAGATGAGAAAAACTGAACTTCATGTATTTTTCTGGTCATCTAACACCACAGTGGTTCTCACAGAACAGTGTTTTCCATTACAGTTTATATTAAAAACAGTCTTTAGTAACGGACAGGTAAGACTCTGAACACAACTGCTATGTATGTGGTTTATTCTTAATGGTTCTTGTCACGTTTTCTTGTGAATGAAGCTATCGGACAAATACAGATGTTCAGAACTGTTGCATGTCTTATGTGTCAGTCTTAGTAATTCTTTATGTTCCTGCTTCCCAGTTACCTGTTGAAGACTGTGCGTTGACATCTGCACAATGAACAAGGAGAAGCTTAACAATATCTACATAGCCTCCGCTGGCGGCTGCCATTAAGGGAGTTATATCTCCTTTATTTCCTCGATCTTCAACATTCGCATGCATTGCTAGTAGCACCTGGAGAAAAAAGTTCACTTTAATGAATACCTTGTAACACCAACATTTTGCTTTTAGTTCAGTCAGGCTTGTTTTTCTACATTTGCTCATATCCGCTAAGACCAACCTTAGGTAACAGTGCAATACTGACATTTTCAAAAGTCACGGGCACCAAAACAAAGCTGCCCACTTTGCGAAATATCACCCAGAGCACAAATTCTGCTCTTGGGTACACAAGTACGAATGGCAAAAATTAACACAAATGAATGCACTGTTGATACAGATATGATTTTAAAAGGGATTGAGTGACTGAGGCATGAGTTTTTAGAAGGTAACCACTTGTATTTGATGTTGCTGCTATATTAGATCCTCTTTCAATGTCTGCTTGGTAAAACAGCTTGATTGCATCTACAACAATGTCAGAAAAGTAGATACATCATAAAACACAAGACACATGCTTCAGACAAGTCCCTTAAACCTAAAGGTATATATGACAGCATATTCCATTAAAAAGACAATGATAGTAGGAAGCCCATAATAAGTTGTATTAACTGATATTCTGCAGAGAATATTAAAAAAATATTATAATCAGAATAGCTAAAGTGTTTACCTATCAAAGAAGCTCCTTAGACAATGCTTCACAAAGTTTTAATTGTGATTATAGTTGTTACTTACTTGTGCCAGTTCATAATATCAAAAAAAGCAAAGGAGGCTCTCCCCTTCTTCAGTGTGTTCATTTACACTTCTTCCTTCATCTAACAGCTTCCGGACAGCATTTACATCCCCATCTGAGCATGCTTCTGCCAAACTGCGACTGGGAAAATCAGTTACCAGAGAACAAGCTCAACATAAATCTGCAATATATGGGTAGCTTTCATATGCAAGGGAGAAGTCTTTACTTAAAAACTTGTGACATTAGTACTAAGCCTCATTAGAATATATACCTGACAGATTTATTTTTTTTTTTAAAAACACAAAGTATATATATACACATTATTTCCATAAGTGAAATGGAGATAAAGACCTTTAGCTCTTCTCCTCATCCTAAGCTCGCATATAGACTAGGTGCAGAGAAGGGTAGTCAAAACTAGGTAATTTGTGGTGTGTGCAAGGCACAGAAGTAAACCTCACTGATGCTACACACACTTTGCTGGAATACCAGGCACAGAGGTTATGGCTACGACCAACTACTGACTGTAGATACCAAGGCAAATTTCTAGTAGAGATAGAGCCAAAAAGTGAACAGCCTAGTATCACAGAGACAACTAATAATGAATATTGCTACAAGACAAACTCCTAACAGCTGTCTCTCTTGTAGTGGGACTATGTCCTTCTCTTCATTAGCCTAAAGCTTTTTCCTTTAATTGAAAACACCAGTGTCTTAATTTAAGCAGCCATTTTAAAGAAAAATCCTTACCTTACCTAATGACATCTTAAAGGAAGAAAGGAAAGGAGCCTTACAGAAGTTTACTATGTTTCCTTTCACGCACTGTTAAAAGCATATTACAGAAGTTTTCAGATGGATGAAATAAGTCAGTTAACTGCACATTTTTAAACGGCAATAACACCACAAATCCTACATGGAGCACTACTAATTCATCCTTAAAAAAAACAACCTCATAAGTGGTAATTACAAGCTAAAAGTCAGACAGAAAGACAAGCCAAACCCCAAGTTCTTCGCACCTAAAAGCTCAGATGTCTATAATCACTACTTTTACCATCATTAACCTCTGAAGAGAATGGCTATTTCCCCTGAGACCCAGGAAAGCACACTAAACAAATCTTGAAAAAGGTGAGCTGAGCTTCAATCTATTTCAAACCGACACCTGTCCTTTAATACTTTTCTATACAAAAAGACTAACAGCAAAGACAACCATTAAAGTACTGCTAAATGCAAGTGTAAACAAGAGCAAGTCATGCTGGGTACCAACTTGGTTACACTTCTCCAACTGACATCATTTTATTTAGAAAGTATATGCAAGGAATCATGTTTCCCCTCCCACTGAGAACCAAGCCACAGTTAATGCCCTGGAGGGAAGGAGAAGGGAGGAAGAGACTTCTGATATGAACAGTACTGGACTGTATGTGATTAATTCCTATCAGCCTATTTTATTTGCAAGATATGGAAGCTTGTTTCTTAAAATAAAAACTAGTATACTCAGATTCATTAAAAACCTCAAACCTCTACTTTTCGTCTGTAGAAGACAAAAATTCACTCATAATGACGAAAATAGCCATTTGAGTACAAAGTTCCCTCAGGAAAGCATACAAGTTTCAATTGTTCTAAGACTGTAATGGTTAAACTACATTAAGTACCTATTTTAAAAGGAAGTAATTTGCCATATAAGCCAAAACGAAGTAAACTGTACTAGCAAAAAGCTGATATCTGACCTGAAGAGAGTACCTGTTATTTGATCACTTACATTTGCTTTATAATCACTAAGTATTTTAAAAGCAAAATAACTGGTAGTTTGGTAAAGGTTATTATTCAGCTACATAGTCAAGTCCCTATACTGAAGCAATGGGTTCGCACTAAAAGGCTGCAATACACTATCCAACCTCCCACCTTCTCCTGAGGTAGGAGAGCGAGCTGTGTGCTCACAGCACCAGCAGTCAGCTACACAGCCCTGCTGCAACCCACACGTAATCTGACATTTACAGCTCAGATTCCCGTGTTCAGATGCGAGGAGAGGGTGAAGATTCACAACCTTTTGCACACACACAGTTTAGCTGTTAGAAATGGGAGCCACCCAACACCATAACCTGGGAGACAAATCCTGAAATAGATCCATCATTCTCGTAAGAGGACCCTAAGCCACCTCAGGTAATACCGAACTGCTGTGAAACCAAACAGGCTCTGTGAAAAAGCTATTAAGAACAAAACTCATGGTTGATTCTAGCTGAGCCAGGCAACTCTACAGGTCTTCCAGTTTGCTCTCTGCTCAGGTTCCCTTTGAGATATTTCCAAGACGTTTTGTAAAAGTGACAAGAATGACTCTGAGACCATCTTCCAAATGAAGCACAGGATGCTCTTGACCTTTGCTCCAAAGCTGCACTGCTGGCTCATGTTCCACTTGTTGTCCACCACAAAACTCCAATCTTTCTCCAAAATTGCTTTCCAGCAATTCAGCCGCCCCAGTCTGTACCAATGCACAGAGGTATTTTTCCCCATATGCATTTCCCTTTGTTGAATTTCATGACTTTCTCCAGTTTGTCAAGGTCCCTCTGAATGGCAGCACAAACATCTGGTCCATCAACCACTCCTTTCAGGTTCAGGTTCGTATCATCTGCCAACTTGCTGAGTAAGTACTCTGTACCATTGTGCAGGTCACTGATGAAGACGCAAAACACTGCTAGCCCCAGTATCATCCTCTGGAGTATACCACCAGCAACTAGCCTTCATCTGGACTTTAAGCCACTTAACAACTCTGAGCCTAGCAGTTCAGACAGGTTTCAATCCACCTCCCTGTCCACCTACCTGGTCTGTACTTCATCAGCTTCTCCCACAGAATGCTGTGCAATACAGCATGAAAAGACTTGCCAATGTCAAGTTAAACAGCAGCCACTGCTTTCCTCTCTTCTACCAACATAGCCATCTCACTGTAAAAGGCTGTAAGGGCAGGCTTGATCTCCCTTTCGTAAATCCATGCTGACTATTTCCTATCATCATTTTGTACTTACAGTGTTAGGAAATAGCTTCCAGGAGGATCGACACCTTTTCAGGGACTGAAGTGAGGCTCACCTGCCTATAAGTCGCCTTAGATCTCCTTTCTTGCCCTTCTTGGGGTCAGGGATGATATTTGCTTTCTTCCAGTCCCCAGGAACCTCCCTCATTCCCCATGACCTTTCAAGTATATTGAGATTGGCCTTGCAGTGTCATCAGCCAGCCCCTTTAGTACTCATGGGTGCATCCTAACAGGTACCATGAACTTGTCCACTGGACTGTGTCCAACCTGTTTAAATGCCCTCTGACCTAACAGCAAACAAGGACTAGCCCCCTCCTTGGTCCAGACCTTTCCAATCATCTTAGGGGCTTGGGATTTCTGAAAGCAAATCTCACCAGTAAAGCCCAAGGCAAAGGCAGCATTCCTACCTCTTCCTCTTCTATCCCTATCACTAAGCCCCCGGCCATATTCTGAGGCAGGCCCACACCTTCCTTCATCCTCCTTTTGCAGCTGTTACACTCACACTATAATACCTTGTCTTTCATGCCCTTTGCCAGATTCAGCTCCAGATGGGCTTCAGCTTTCCTAATCGAATCCCTGTATGCTTGGACATGGTCTCTATATTCCCCTGGCCTACTTCCATCTTTGGTATCCTTCCTTTTTATGCTCAACCATGCTTCCCCAGCATATTTTCATCTCCACATGTTTTGATCTACAAGTAATTTCTCTAGCTTCAGTTAGGAAATTAAACTTCTATATTTGCATTTACATTTTGAGCAATGACTCAAGACTACTGCCCTTATTGTAGGCGCTATGTTTTGCAAATCCCAAGTCTGAATTTCAAGAGGAAAGGAAATGCAAGACTATCAATTCAGACTGGATCTGAAGTTCAACAGTTCAGGAACAATTTCCATCACTTGTCAGAGTAGAAGATATTTCAGGCTCTAAAGATGCTTTTAAATTACCAATGCAGAAGAAAGCTTTTCATGATGCAGGACAAATCCTCAGTTCTGTCATGATGGACGTTAAATGCTGTCCTCATTAGTTATCAGTTACGAAAATTTATCAGATAATACAGTTTCATTTTCCCCCAAGTTCCTCAGCAAGATCCCAGGGCAAATCGCTGCCCTGTAAGTACTAGCACGGTCTTTCAACTTTTAATACAATGAACTACATTAATTAGTTTCCAATTAAGTATGCTGAGGCAGTATTTAGAGAACTATCACAAATTCTTCTACAGCTAAGAACTTAACCTGGTTCTGAAAAAGAAATTAACTGTCCACTACACAGAAAGAATAGCAGGTTAAAAAATAAATTTTTTGTACTTTTTTCTTACACTTTGAAGCCAATAACCTGAGGGGACAGTAGTTACACCTTCAGGTACAATAACTGTACTTCTGCTGGTACTAGAGCAGATACGTCACCAAGTACTAAGTATAAGATTAACTGAATTTGAGATTAAATATACAAACTTACATTCTGTAGTTGTGAAACTGGGGGCAGGGAGTGATCAATACATACTTGTCCACTTGTCCTGCATTGTGATTGTTCTCTGCTCTCATCCGCGTCAATGCAGCAGCAGCTTCATCCAGTGCACAGCTGACAGAGGACGTCAGTCGTCTTAGAACCTCGGGATCTGCGAAGGCTTTACCATCGGCAGTGGACAATTTACCAATTCCTTCAGTGTATGTTCGTTCATCAGTCAGGTTAGTATGAAAGTCACACAAAAGAAATGCAAAGACACTATTTTAGATTTCAGACACATGCACCATTAGTTAAAAATCATTCGCAAACATGCCAGAGAATCAGCTACTTACAAGTAACTGTTAACATTTGCCGAACACCTGAACATTTAAGTTCAATAAGAAAATTATTTTTCAACCAACAGTTTCATCACCTGTCCCAAACTCCCAACCCATAGCTATGAATTAAAAAAAAAAAAAAAAATCTCAGGGGAATAAAGATAAGTGCAGGGGTCAAACCCAAAACCAGAAGTTTGGGAAACAGATATTATTCCACAGGCTTGGTTTAATAGTTTCTGAATGTGAGGAGTTTTCCAATTTAAAATGTAAAGTTATTACCCCTTTCCCACTGAACTCCACTCAAAATTAAGTGGACTTAGACCTAATGTAAATTTTCTTTTTTAAGAGTAGGAAAAAACTTTAAGTAAATTCCCAATAATTAAACATTCTAAACTGTACAGCTGCTACAGGCACAAAAATTCTGAAACACAATTTCAAATAGTTTAAGTATACTTGAAAACCCCCTACGCTAACATTACACAGTAGAAATGCTTAGGCTCAAGAACTTTTTTTAACAGTTTCTTTCTTAAAAACTGTTTCTTTGTTCCAAGACTGAAGCTGAAGGCCAATGCGGAATAGCACAATAAGAACGTTATTTACCCCACTCGTTTACATGTCAGATATAAAATTATGGTACAGCTGTGTAAGTTTACTCCACACAGGCTCTACTCCATATTGTTCAGCACAATCTATTTTACATATGCAATCATCACTGCACAGTTGCCTCTGGAGTGTAGGCAGGGCTTGTATTTGCATATACAAATAGCATAAAAAAATGCACTGATGAACAGTACTCCCCACAAAACTCCCAAAGAAAAATTCATATGCTACAAAGAGCAAATGGTTACTGATTTATAGATTAGCTACCTTTATCACTGATGAATCAGTAACTTCCCAACTCCTTAGCTGTTAAGCAGGGTCAAATTAGATATAAACCTCAGAAAATAACACGTCTTAGAAGATTTGCTATTTGGTATGGGCGTATCTCTGCAAGATTGATTTACACCTATCTCCCACAACCCAGCTTATTATTATTATTATAAAATACGTAATTAAATCAAGTTTTGGACATTGTCTTCAGACAATGTATTTCCCCAGTTTGAGAGCATCAAATTTGTTTCTTATTAATGTAAGAATCAATACTTAGCAAATTTCTCCACCCTGAAAACAATTTAGGCCAGCATACACTGGGCACACTCTGTTACATGACCCTACATCACTGCAGTGCTGGTAAGTGCTGGGCTTTGAGCGTTCAAACTCAGTGTTGCTGGAAATGATGAAGAGTCCCTATCCTGTCATCAAGGCATACACCTATGATGGGGTACAGTTGACTTGGCTGACTCAAACTGAGCATGAGCTATGAAGGCTAAGAAAAGCTGCTTAAGAAACTTGCTCAGATCCAAGAGCCCTACCTCCCTGCTCCAACAGGCTATGAAAACCAATTTATAATAAATTACCCAGCCTGCAGTAAGATGAGAATCTGTCCACAGCACACCGACCTGGTTTGCAAAGGCTGTCTAGTGGACTGGAGAGCACTCAGTGCAGAGAAACACAGGGCCATGGCTCCTGACTCCACATACCTGAAAAGGCTATCAACCACGTGCCCCCTTCCACCTCCAAACTGTTGATGCCATAACCCTTTCAGCTACTGCTGTTAAATGTAGTGAGACTATAAGCAAGAAGCCTCTAACACCACAGCTCGCACCTCACATATTAACATAAACTGAATTTGTTGGTGGTTTAAAAGGTAAGTCGTGTCACCTCTGCAGTTGTGGCAGGTGGGATAGCAGGGGTCAATCATTGAAAAAATGTGCTGGGGCATCGATTTAGTGCTAAACACAGAGAAAGTGACAGTTTCTACTTAGTTCTGCTTCCTCAGGACAGTTCAAGGAGTAATTACACAGCTGTTTACATTAGCTATTTCTGGTGCCAGTGCTGGCTTACACTAGCTTGCAGTATGCATAAAAGTACTGCCTAAGGAAAGAAAGGGAATTAAGCCTTCACAACAGCACTGAGGCCTCATCTAAGACCACCACAACTGAAGCTGAACAAAGTGTGGTAAGTAAAGTGAAAAGTACTCAAGAGAAATCCACAGGATTTTGAAAATGACCCCTGAGCAAAACCTAATAAAAAAAGTTTAGATTTAGATTACAAGGAGCAGCACAACAGCAGTTTCCCTCCACTTAGAAGGGCCTCATGGAGGAACTGGTAAGCAGTCCTGCTGCTGGAAAAGTGGGAAATAAGCCCAGTCATAAAAAACAACCAACAAATCCCACCCACACAAATCAACCTGGCTAACTAAAATAAACCAGATATCCCAATCCCTTCAATGCACTACAGCAGCAGATCAGACAGGTTACCTAGACAAGCAGAACCTACACTTGATTACTCTCTCCATTTTTAAAGTTTGCTTATAGAAGCATTCATGCAGGGGATTTCTGACAGCAAGAGAAGTCACAGGTCCAAGTCATTTGTTTGTCTTTACAGGACACACTTCACCTACTGCAGAGCTCATGCATTACTGCTGATGGTCTCCTGAAGGACTGACCAACCACAGCTCACTGGATCTTCCTTCCAGCTAGTAAAAACACGCTTACAGCTCACTAGTTCCCTACTTTTTTTTGAAACAAAGTGCTATAAACACACCAAGGACTTTCAGAGGGTAAGCTAAATGTGCCTTTTATTTACCTCACCAGCTAGGGCTCAATCCAGGTGCCATCCCCAGCACATGCCAAAACTAATCAACAGCCACAAAAGACATCAGAACAGACATTTGTCTGGCTGGATGAAGTAAAAGGGAGACATACTACAAGAACTACCACTACAGACACCCTTTTCATTCATTTATTTCCCTTTTGCTGGCATGCTGTACCAGAATCTTATTGCTGTAATGCTGACTTCCAACTAAATTAGAGATCTAAAGGTTTTTGTGTCCGCTTCATAACCATTTCGGTTATGTGTCACTTCATAACCATAACAGCTCAATGTCCGAGTGGAGAC